GACTTTTGGAAGGCAAGTCCAGAAATAAAGAATGGCAAGACAGGAAAAAGATAGATGAAACTAATTCTATCTGTTAATTCGAACAATAAGGGGAAATAAGATGTTCTCTCGGGTCAATTCTGAAAACAAACTCTGCAAACTGAAAGAAATGTTGAAGAGCAGGAAGAGAGAAACCCAGCTCAAGCCATCTCCACTCTCCTCCCAAAGCCCAGTTTACTGAGAGGCTCCATGTGACATTTGTTCAGAGTGTTTTCCTTTACTTGGCAAATGCACCTATGAAGGGAAACTGATCCCATGTGTTTATACTGACCCTTCTGGTAATTAAAGTCCCTCCAGCTTAAGCTGAATTCCTGTCCCTTGTGCGAGAGTCTAGCTTTAAACGACACTTTCTATTCTATTTCATCCCGTTAGCATGTGCCACCACTCTGACAGGCAGCTCTCACAGCCAGTCACTGATGCAGTGTTTAATCCAGGTGCAGCTTCCACAGACTGTCACTCATCTCTCAGGCCTCCCTTGGAGTAACCTATAAAAAGGATGATCTAACTAGGATCAAAATAGGTATTTACTTGTCACCAAAGGTTTCTTTCTAGATTTGAATGTACCTTTTCAAATGGCTCTTCTAATCCTTGTGGAAAGCAGGAACAAAGAGACTAAGCTATAACTCACATTTCTCTTCACTTGTCCCACATATGAGATGCACCTTCATCCAAACTACATTGTACGTTAAAATCCTTATCTGAAGGGCTTGGGAGAAGGGCCAGTCAGTCAGTAAGTAAGTCCTTGCTTTGCACAAGCATAAGGACCTAAATCAAGATCCTGAACACTCTTGTTTAAAGTCACAGCAACATACTCATATAATGCCACCGGGGACGTGGAAACAGGAGGGTCTCTGGGGCTTGCCAACAAGCTAGCCTTCCTGAACTGATGATGAGCTACAAGTTCAGTAACAAACCTTGTCTCAAAAAATACGGTGGGTAGGGAGTGAGAGAAAGACCTCTGACCTACATGTATACACCATACACTATTGCGCACACACACACACACACACACACACACACACACACACACACACACTTTATCTGTAAAAGTACCCAAATCTGCGATTCTCCTAGAAGACGATATTAGATTTCATTATCTAATTTACCAGAATCTCTTATTCCAATAATGAAAAAACACTCTGCTTATTTCCACTGAATTTACATAATATGTCTGTGCATACCTTCTTCTCAAATTTTACTTAGTTCATAGAGAATTCCATACCAAGTGGTGGTCAAATTCACCCTGCCTCTACCAACTCCTTCCAGATCCCCCCTTGCCTACTCATCCAACTGAATATCCTCTTTTTATTTTCATTAAAAAAAAAAAAAAAAAAAATCAAATACAGTTTGTGCCCCCAACACACTTGGGCAGGGAAGCAATATCATGAAGAGAAATTGGGTGCCAGCCACTCAATGTAAAAATACAGTCTTAGCATAATAGTTGATGGGCACTAACTGCCATATCTACCGACAGCACAATGCTTGGCTCGTCCCTTGCCTTCGGAGCTTTCACAGAGGTGGGTACTGTATCCCCTGGATTGTCCCTCCAAGTCTGCAATGCTTCTCCTGATCTCTTTCGGTAACTTGTCTTCCATCCCGGTTCCCTCTTCTTGATGCACTTGATCTAGGTCACGTTTCTCCATCTAGCTTCCATCATCCCTTCATCAACAATTAGCTCACCATTATCAGTTCTTCCTAGCATTGTCCTCTAACTCACATGGCAGAGCCTCTCACCTTTTAATAGGTAGAAAGGTCTGCATTTATGTGGTCAAACCCAGCCATAACTCTTCATTCCTCTCCTATAGAAGGACTGAACTAACCTCCACAATTAGATTTTTTTTAAAACAAAAAGTTTCTCCATGTCTGTGCTTCAGTGGAATTCTGTATGAGGGCAGGCTGATGCTGTGGATCAAGCCTTGGGCTTTAAGCATGCTAGACACTCTATTATTAAGATAAATTGCCAGCCTGAAATAATACAGTTCTATTGTACATTTAACATATAACTGCCTCGATTTTATAATTGTGCATATTTCTATAACCTAGACTTGGTTACTGGGAAGGAAAGGAGTGGAACGTGCAGAGAGGAGTTAATGGTTTAAAGTTTTCTTTCATTGTTTTAGTTTCATATTCTTCATCTATAAAACAGAAATAAGACACTACTTTATAAAAAACATTGTAAATCCAGCAGAAGACTGAAGCAAAGTAGCTTGTATATAGAAGGGGGTCCAAAGGGATGCCGCTGGGAGTGATGTAAACACGTGTTCTGAATCCTCAAGGAGAAGAGACAAAATCTCCAGAGCACTCAGGACTGTGTTAGAACATCCTTTGGCATCTTGCCGTATTCTGGGATGGGTTTTAACTAATTACTTAATGTCTTAATACAAAGTATGTCTTGAAAACCTCACAATGCTCCTTTTTTTTTAAGCAAGGTTTTATTTTACCCCTTTCTGCAATGAGAAGTACAAAGGATTGGTTCCCAGACCTCCACAAACTCAAAGTATGTGGATGCTTGTCCTTTATGCCATAGTATTTGCACACATCCTATACATATACTCTGTATATTTTAAATACCTCTAGATATTTCTAGCACCTGTGCAATACCAGGAAACAGTTGTTATACTGCATTGACTAGTGAACACGGACAAGGAAAGAAGTCTCACAGGTTCAGTACATACATCATTTTTTTTCCAAATAATTTTGATCTGAAATTATTTCATGGCAATGTGGATACAGACGGCCACTCAAATTCAGCTGACTTTTTCTATACTTCTTAGCCCCGAATCAAGAAAAGAACAAGCCAGGAATTTAAGACATTTCAAGCTATAAATGCTTTTATTTCACAATATTCAAAATTTTCAACACGAGAACCTTTTATGCTCCCCAGCTTCTCTGAGGCATTGCCGGAGAGAGATGCAAGAAACCTCAGAAAAAAGCCTGGATGGGTTGATTTAAGAATGGATGCAGAAAGCTGGGTGTGGTGACACACACCTTGGATTTCAGCACTGAGGCAGGTGTGTGAGTTCGAAGCCAGCCTGCTCTACAATAAGTTCTGGGATCCCAGGGCTATGTAGAGAAACCCTGTCTCAAACAAACAAACAAAAAAGAATGGATGCAGAGCATTTACCAAAGACCTTAAAATGCCTGGTCACCTGGCCACTTTCATACCAAATGTACTAATGCACATCACAGAACTAGAGAAGACCTCAGTAGTTAAGGACTGTGAACCAGCAGGACACAGATGGCCCAAATACATTTTTAATGTGGTCCTCACAGATTTCTTTTCTTTTTTAATTAAGGATACCTTCACATTAAAAAAAAATTCCAGAGACTTCTGCTTTCCTTGAAAATCTGGCACGTGATTCCCACCTAGCCTTGTCCTCTCCTTAATCTTAACTGGCAACCCCCCCCTCTATCCCCCCCCCAAAAAATGTAATAGAAAAAGCTTGGATCCAAATAAGGTCTTCTCTCCACATTGGCTCTGACCTTCCTCGAGGTTTGGATCTTGGGTCCCTTAACTGTCCACTGAGAGCAAGGGCCTGACTTTACAGGGACTGTGAGGATCCCGAAAGAAATGAATGGGAAGTGCTTTCCAGACCAGGTCAAGTGTTCCCCATCATTATTCATTTTTCTGTGCTCCGGGAGTCTCATAAACCCTTTGCCAATTATCTGTCATTATTTGGCTTCCTCTTCCTGCCGCTACCATGTCACTTGACATAGTTCATTATCTCAATTAAAGAATGGTGTATGTCTCCCTTGTCCCACTTAAAAAGAATAGGGGGAAAATGGACAGACATTAAAAGAAAGCAGAATGAATTGCTGGATGCCACTGGATCTATTTTTCTATTTGTGAGCAAAGAATGAAATTAGTGCAAAGTATAATTACTCATTGCCGACCTCTTCAAGTTCACCCAGTAAACCTCTGAGGCGGAAAAGGAAAAAAGGAAGGAAAACAACAACAACCCTAGCCGCCGGCCCAGGTGTTAGGAGCTCCTATGAGCTCAGGTTTCTGATGTCTTTCATGGGCCTCGTTTGAGGAAAGCGTTCTTCAGCCCTTCAGAAGAAAACAAAAATTTAACATGCGCTCTGAAAGCTGATATTATGGGACAGTATGCCAGGGCAAAAGATTTATATCTATCTCCATCAACACACAGATGGAGCTCCGACTCCTAATCAATTAAGCTGGAAGATGGATTTTCACAAACGGGCGGAGATGATGAACACTGCGCTTTATGCTGCAGTGGACATAGAAAAGCTGTATGTCATGAATACCATCTAAACTGTTACCTTAGAAATGCGCAAGTGCTGTTCCTGTTCTGGTCAATTTACAACAGAAGAGCTTCCTGGTGTGGGGCCACAATAAAATCGTCTGCTCTTGCTGTTAATTTAATACAAGTGAGATGCAAAACAGAACTGGAAATTGAGAGAAAGGGCAAGTTTTAAATTGGAGTCTGCTTTCTTTGAAGATCACCAAAATGGGAGTAAATTATAATGCATGACACAATCCGTTGAAAAACTCGTCTGATGGGCCCACTTAAAACGTATATGGTATAGTATATTGTCACTTTTTTTAAAGTTGAATGAAACCATTGTCTGAATACAAATTAACGACTGCCAATTTGCCACAAGATCCTCAATGTACATATTATTTTTAAAAAATCAAAATAAATAGGATTTAAGAAACGATTTCTTCTGTGTCCCAAGGCTAATGTTTAAGCAAGTCTCCTTGGTAACCAGGAAGCATAGTGCCTACTGGCTTGGGGGAGGGGGTTGCAACTCTAGGTTGGTAGAATAAGTAACCGGAGTAGTAATTGCTCCCGCTAGACGACGCCAGTAGAGGCTGCATCCCCTGAAATCGCAACTCCAGGTCTCTCCGGGTCTGGCGCATCCGCAGCCACCCACCCGCTCCCTTGGGTCTGGAGGTACTAATCCCGAACCCGTCACAAGGAGAGAGACTGGCTTACCCGATGACGGGGAGCAGTCTGCCGGGCTTGATACCCAAGGGGGCCGGTGGGCACCTGGCTCTCTGCGAGGCACAATGGTTCTGCTTCCCCCCTCGAATCTGGGCTCAAGGAAACTGCAGCAGCTCCGTTTGCCCGGCCGGGGCTGCAGCAGTGATGATCGCGCGCTCTGGAGTGTGTGGATGCGAGCCTGTGTGCGCGCTAGCCCGCGCGCTCCCGAACTCCCGCGGGGAAACTGTGTCCCCAGGATGAGGAAGCCAGCCAGCCCCGCAGGTGGCGCGTGCAGCGGGACCCGCTCTCTCCCTCCCCTCCCCTCCGCGGACCTCCAGCTGCCCCTCACAGCCGCTCCGCCCTCCTGCCGCTGCGCGCTCCCGCCCCGCCGCGGCCGCCCGCGACACGCGCGCTCCCCGGAAGTCCCCGTCTCCGCGCTCCCGCACCTGAGCCGCCTGCCGCGGGTCACACGCACAGCCTGCTGCCCCAGCAGGCCTCCGCCGCTGTGATCCCGACTGCAGCGCCACGCTGGATCCCGGTCCCAGCACTCCCAGGGTTGGATGCTACTGCTCCTGCAGGTGCCTCATCCCTCCCCGGAGCAGAGTGCACTCCCCTGTCCCCCACCTGGCTGGCTTGTCCAGATGCACTAGCCCAGAAGAGCCTGCAGTGGCCTTCTCAGAATTCATGTTGACCTACCTTTGAGAACAAGTGTGGAGCAACTTTTTAAGAAACAATAGCGGGCACAGGTAGACACATGTCCTGAACCTGAGCCAAGAGGGAGAGTATTTGATTACCCCTAATCAGCACTATAAATATTGACACCACTGTTGAATTACTGGGTTTGGCATACTTGCTAGTCACTGTGTTTTAAGAAAAATGATTAATTTTGCCGGGCGGTGGTAGCGCACGCCTTTAATGCCAGCACTCGGGAGGCAGAGGCAGGCGGATCTCTGTGAGTTCGAGGCCAGCCTGGTCTACAAAGTGAGTTCCAGGAAAGGCGCAAAACAACACAGAGAAACCCTGTCTCGAAAAACCAAAAAAAAAAAAAAAAAAAAGAAAAAGAAAGAAAGAAAGAAAGAAAAATAATTAATTTTAATAGGTGATACTTCGCCTCTGAATTGGAAACCTTGGTCCAATGTGAAATCAAAGCTCGAGTGGTAGACTTGAAGTTGGAAAGAAATATTTAGCAGATGTGAGTGATTTAAACTACTGCAATATTTAAAACATATCCACGAATTCCACAAGATGATAAAGTTTATGTTCTTCCCCACAATGGAACTAGGCAGTGGCCTTGGTCAATCTGGGGCGTTCTTAACACCCTCATTATTCTCAAACCAATGGTTCAGTAATCGTTTTCCACGTTTAGACCCACGAGATCTTTAAGATGTGTTAGGCCTCCAGAGACCTGTCTTCTGCCTCCCTCTGCTTTACTCAACAGGACTTTGTATTAGGACTTCAGGATGCTGACTCAGCACTCCTGGGCACCAGGATGGGTGCTGAGAAAAGAATTAGAGCTGACTGCAAAGCTGGGCGGTGCTAGTCTCTAGAATATTTCACAAACAACGGATTTTTCCTTTTATGCTGGAAGATCAAATGAGAAAGCACTTTGAACCCCCCAATACTGACAATGGTGTCAAGAGATAAAGCCCCCTCCCTGCAGCCTTAGCATGTTTACTGATCCTGTCGGTCTTGTTTACCAAGCCATTTCCAGGAAAGGCAGACTTTCTGGCTTTCTAGCTCTTACAGTCTTTCCTCTGCCTCTGCCTCCAGCACACCTAGCTACAGATGGTACTGGTACTGGTACCCCTGGGGTTGATGTCCCTTGACCCACTGATCTCTGCATTGTGCCCAGTGTTTTCCTGTGATGGACTCCATTTGCTGTAAAGAGATGCTTCTTTGTTTAGGGGCGAGAGCTACACTTATCTGTAGGTCTCTAACGATAAAATTTTAAATGTAGTTAAGAATTTGTGCTGCCCCAGCAAAGTGGTAGAGGTAGATTATTATCTCCTAAGACCTATGACCTCTAGCCCCAGGAGCTTGGCTAGGTGAGTGGGTCTCTGCAGGTGTCATACAGGGAAGGAACCACACAAAGAGATAAGAATAAAAACTGGGTGCAGATTGACTTCATCAACCTGGATCAGACTTCGGGGAGTCTAATATCGGGTGGTTTATTATCAATGTATTTAAACACAGTACAATTTGAAAAAAAATCCTGTGTAATACACTCCCTGCTGCACAAAGAAGCATAATTACATTGAAACTCAACTCTGATGTTTCAGTTTGGGTTTCTATTGCTGTGAAGAGACCCCATGACCATGGCAACTCTCTCTCTCTCTCTTTTGTTTTGTTTTTTGAGACAGGGTTGCTCTGTGTAGTTTTGATGCCTGTCCAGGATCTCACTCTGTAGACCAGGCTGGCCTTGAACTCACAGAGATTCACCTGCCTCTGCCTCCCGAGTTCTGGGATTAAAGGCATGCCACCACCACCTGGCAACCATGGCAATTCTTACAAGGAAAACATTTAATTGGGGTGACTTGATTACAGTTTCAGAGGTTCAGTCCATTATCATCACAGGAAGCATGGTGGGGAGCATGGCAGCATGCAGGCAGACATTATGCTGGCTACATCTTGGCTTGCAGGGAACAGGAAGTTGATTGACTCAACGGTTGATATTCCAAGCATGGGAAACCTCACAGCCCACCCCTACAGTAATACACTTCCTCCAACAAAGGCTATATCCACTCCAACAAAGCCACACCTTCTAAGAGTGTCACTCCCTATGAGATTATGGGGGCCAATTACATTCAAACTACCACATCAGGGTACATGTCTTTCCCTCCAAGAAGAAGGGTTCTAGAGATAGACTACCTGTACTAGCTTAAAGGCCTACGGGTCTGTCCTGCTCTCCATCATACAAATAGCATAGAGGTCATTTTGGCTGTTAGCAACCTCTGGTCCTGGTTGTGGGAGCTTGGGGGAGTCTCTGGCTATCAAGGTCATTTAGATTACTAGCAACCTCTGGTCTTGGTTGTAAGAGCTTGGTATGGTCTGGCCCAGCAGATAATACAGATCACCAGGCTGTTGATCATTTCCAATTTTCAGCTTCCTGGATGGAAGACCAGGTTTTTTTTTTTTTATCTTTCCCATTGGAGCAGACAATCCTGTGTGCTTAACATTCCCGGTTTCTCTGAAGATCTGTGGGCTCAAGGACCTTAGTGTTATGTTCGCAACAGCAAGGTTTCTGGTCCAGGCCTGATTTTCCTCCTGTTGAATGCACCTTAAGTCCAAGTAGACAGCTGTTATTACAACAGCATGTGAGTGCCACTTGTGCTTGTATGCATATCTTGCCACGATGGTCCTTGTTGTGGGTCACAGGTGTCACAGCTGGACAAGACTATTAATTGCTTCCCTCCCTTGGAAGCTAGCATAGTGCTTTCTGATACTATCAAAGGTAGACCACAGAAAGGAGACTTCCGGATTAGATCCATCTCGAATCACCCAAGACCCTTGTGCAGTGTCTTCAGCAACCTCTAAGAGGCAACCAGTGGCAACAGCAACAGCCTTTATTGTTCTGGAAGCCAGTTGGACTACCCTGACCAACCACTTGAAAGTAGGTTTCCCATGCCTGGTTCTGGGAGTTTCTCTTAGTGCACAGTCCTTATGAGGAGGATTGTCAGCCCAAGAGGCATACTCCTAGATTCTAGAACCTAGACAAAGAATTACAGACAACTGAGGACTCCTGAGAAGAGAAATCAACTCTCCCAGGGACGAGCCCCCTAGTTACCTAATACAAAGTGGCCATCTCTGAAATCACATACCCACAAAACAACAACAAAGACTCAACAGGTTATATTTATATATTTGTGTATAACAATGTTATCAAATTGAGAGTAGCAGTCAGGGAGAGGTTGGAGGGAGCAAAGGGAAAGAAAAAAGGGATATAACTATATCTTAATTTTAAAATGTATTAAACAGCCAGGGATACACAGAGAAACCCTGTCTCAAAAATAAAAAAGTATTAATATAATAATAAATTTAAAAGGCAATGTGCACACAATTGCCAAACATTTCAATAAGCATTTGTACATCGTGCCTTTTAAGATTTAAAAAAAAAAAAACAAAAAACTAAAACTCTCCCTAAGAATCATAAAGTATTCCCCACTACAGGAACTACACTGAACGCTTTAAACCAGCTGTAGTGACTAGATTTTCTGTTTAGAGTAAAAAGAAAGTATTGTTAAATAAAATTAAATAGTAGAAGCAAGAGCCGAGTACATACACACAGGAAAGGGATCTTTATGCCACCAGCTTGTGTGAATATGGAAGTATTCCTTATAACCTTGCTGGGTAACTATCACCTCCCACTCCTCATTTTCTCTCTTATACCCAGTATAACGTGACATGAGGAGGTTTGATAAATGTTGTTTACTGGCACATATGTTAAAGGTGAGATAAAAAAGTATATGTAAATGCCTAGTAAAATGTATGGCTCCAAAGGCAATTTCCCCTGGTGACTCTTCATGTGCTTACTCCATAGTATTCTTAAAGCTTTTCATTTCTATAGGATAGGCGATGTGTGTTGCACAGCTACCAAAACTCAACACAAGCATAGTTTTCCGTTTACTTCGTTAAACAGAGTCTAGATATCATCTCTTCCCCAAATTAAATACTGTGTTCATTCTTGTCAAGAAAAAGCTAAAGCCAGGCATGGCAACACACCCACAACCCCAGCATTTGAACAGTTGAGGCAAGGGAATCAGAAGCTTTAAGCTAGTAAAACCATCTGAAAAAGAAGATGGGAGGGGGAGAAGGAAGGAAAGAGGAGAAAGGAGAGAAGAAGAGAGGAGAGCTAAAAGAATGTTTCCTAAAACCTGTTCTTTGGAATGATAGTCATTCGTCCCACAACTGGACTTGCTTTTCTTTTATTCCTTTAAAATTAGGATCTATTGGCACCATACTCAATGTAAAGAGAGACTGCTTCTGTTGCAATTCAGTGATATTATAAGAGAGGAGCCGAAGGAGAAAAATGAAGCCTATGTCCACCAGTGGCAAGTGAAAGAAATTATTCCTCTAAAATTGAGCAAAGGGGAATTTCATGGAAGGTTATGAGGAGCTTGAAAATTGATGGCAGACATCCCTGGGCAACAAGCCTGGGAAGTCAACAAGATTTAGAGAAAACCCAGAGAACACAAAAAACTGACAGCAGAAGAATCAGAGAAGGGGGTAGCAGGAATCTTAAAAGTTCTTATTAATAAAATCAAACCCAGAGCCAGGTATTGGGGTGAACGCTGGAAGACTAGAGAGGCAGAACAGG